CCTCCCGCTTTAACAGAGAATAGTAGAAGCTGCACGGCATCCAAACATAGCTCATATCCCTAGAACTCTGCTAACCACGGTAGTGCGATCAATAAGATGAAACACTTACTTTCACAACCTTTCTGGTCTTGTTCTAAAATGTAACCAGGGTAACACGAACACTGATAGCCACCCACTGTATTGGCACATCGCTGACTACACCCACTATGTTTCTCGTCATCACATTCATTTTCGTCTGTTGAAATACAATGTAAGAATTAGGGAAGTTCGTGTACGATTGTCAAAAAAATCTTAGAATTTGACCGCTGGTGGCACTGTTCATACACCGGCATTATTTAAGCTCACTTTAAAAAAAGATTTGATTTTATGATAGCCGTTTGAGGGTGATATTTACAACCATTTTTGACTTGTATCTATGCGAGAGGAAAAAATCCGCTCGCGATGGATTCGGGTGGCGCGACGCATTTGGTTCGAAACAAAATTGTTGAGGGTTTGTAACTGTAAAATGTATACAGTATTTGAACACACGAAAGTTGAAACTTTAGTAACGATATTGTAGTTATTACAATGAATCAAACAAATAAATAAATATCTTCATCATGTCAGTTCATCTGACCACAATTTTTCGCGATTTTCCACGATTCTTGAGAAAAAAAAAAGGCTTTTAGTACGAAAACGGGATATTTCTTTATTTAAAATGTATATAATCGTACTTGATTTTGTTTGGGTGGTCAAAACGACCCGGACTCTATTTGGCATATTCCACGAGTTCGTTTTTTGTTTTGTTCAAGGCTCTTGCCCCTTTATTTGTCTGTATGCGTCACTACTATGTCGTCCGCCATTGCGGCGCCAGCATCCATGGCGCCCTCACACGACAATCTGTCTAAACGTGATCACTTTAAAAGCAAATGCGTTTTGCCAAGCGACACTGTTATCAGGACTAAACATGTAAGCTTCCTGTGAGAATCACAGCAATCAAAACAGCAAACAAATTTTTCAAAATTCCCGATGTATATTCACTGGCAAGTTATAAACAGTTGGGGAAAATTTACGTTGAACGTGAGCCATGACCAGTAATATACTAGTAATGTGCTTGAATAAACACTGTTGTGCATACCGTGGAGGTGAAACAAACAAGTGAACAATAAAACTACAAAACGAACGTGCAAAAATATGATACAGTCAGTATCATATTTAAATATGAATTTTGCTTAGCATTTTCCGCAAAATAGAAATAATTGGCAAATCCCACTCCATAGACACGAATCAGTGAGTGTGGACGTTGTTATCAGCATATTCACTGAACTGTAAACACATGAGCAATTCACATTTTACTAGGACCCTTGTATGGGAAGCTGTAAACTCGCAAACAAACAATTGTAACAATTACATGTAATCTCTTTCTATAAATAAAGACCATGTTCTGAAGAGTGTAATTGACATTCCAATTTGACGCTACTTGGACTGATTCAAGCACTCGCGGAATGTTGGAACGCGCACGCCCCTTTCCAGTCTGTTCTATTTAGCCGATACTGGCGCTACTATTCAAAGTACGAGTTGTAGGTCAGTCTGACAAACTTCAATAAACAAATAACGAAATATATTTTTCAAAGGCTTCAATAATACATTCCAACCATGTACCACCATTTTTATTTAGCCTATCACGTGACTACCTTGCAGGTACATATTTCATATGAAGTATCGCAAAAACGTTGTTGTCTGTTGGTGTTTTTTTATATACACGAGTCAGTTAAGTATACGGATAATAAACCAACTTCACACGAACCCGTGCGTTGATGGCGTAACACTAATTGTAAAGATTTGAGGCTGTGGCGTAAGTTTGGTCATTTGCATATTGATATTGACACATTTTATGAAAAATCTCGTGAAGATTTGGGCTCAGTATCAGACCTAGCAGTTGAACAAGAAACGTGTGTTACACTTGAATTTGGTGAGCAATACTCACTTTGCTCACACTCCAGTGATACTCTAACTGCGAGAAATGAGCTCTCATATTACACCGATATTCTCCGTTTAATACTAGAAGTACACGTGATATTGCTCCATTCGTGTATGTCATCTGTATCGTATGACGTCATACTGATAATATTTGAACCTAGTGTGTGTCGATTAACCAGTCGCCGTAGGATAAATATCCAGAGGCATTTTAGAGGTTACACATGCAGTACAGTGTAATTACTAGACTATGTATGGTATGGGCGAATTCTGGGGGACATGCCAACAAGCTTACCCGGAGCTGTAGCTATATACATTTTGAATCTGGCACGATCACAACAAAATTAATTGTCATTATTGTCGAAGATTTAACGATTGGATTGACATCACTTGGAACCACGAAGCTATTGGCCAGCGAGTACTACGGCGAACGCGTTTGCTATGACAGCACTTCGCGGATATTCGAATTTTCGAATCCCAGAAGCAAACACCTAACGGCATATTCCAACTAGTCTGCAAAACCCTGTGCAACATTAGTGGTGTTTATCGGAACGTCATAAAACCGACCGCTTTCAAGGGGGGAAAGTATGACCCATGTGAGAGATGCTGGTGAAAGCCTAAAACGAGTGGAAGAAACGAATGAGCGCATGCGCCAATTAACTGACAACTTCCAGCGAATGCAAGAGGACATACAATCCAACAAGGACTTTCTAATTCGAAAAACGAAGAGACTGAATAGGATTGCTGTTAACTTGCATCGCATGACAGGCCAGGTAAAGGAAATTAAAGAACAGCTCAAAGTGTTGAAAAAAGACTTGGCGGAGGAAGAGGAAGAAGAAGAAAGGATAAGAAAATTAAGACCGTGGCTCAAGAACTGAGTGTTTCGTAGTTTTGGGATATCATTATCGGCAACGGGTTGTGTGAGAATTGAACACATCACACGGTACTCGAGACACTTTGTAAGACTCGGTTTAATAAGGGTGCAATTAAACGAGTAATTCACGATGGAGGGTGATGCGGCTATTTCATTGCCAGAAGCTGAAGCCAAGTACGCCAGCCTCCAGCTACGACTCGATAATTTGCGTGTAATTGTTGAAGACTTTAGCAGAAGAGTGCGGGCGAGAAAGGGGATAGTAAAGAAGCTCACTAAAAAATATCTGTCAGTGAGAAAAGACGTCAGTGCTATGAAAGAAACGTACGCGCAGGTCACTGGTCGGTTGACGGAGTTGGAGCGACGCGGCCGTAAAAGTAGACGCCGCTACCGAGAAATGAACGTACAGTACGACGTGTTTGAACTGATTTCAATCCCGGAAGTTAAGATTGAACGAATGATGTATTTTATTAGTGAATTCTTCAGGATTTTAAATCATATGGTAAATAGGGACCAAGTCTCGGCGATTGAAAACGCGCAGTTGGATCTCTCGGCGAAAAAAAAGTCGGTGGAAAATTTACATCGCGACATTGCCGTGCGGCTTGGGATGGACGACGAGAGGATGGAACAGCTCAAAATTGTATACAAAGCGTACGAATATGTATTCGATTCCGAATCTTTTAAAGATCTTAGTGTTTTGCGTGTTTCGGAAGTCTCGCGCATGCTTGACGCCCTCAACATGCCGACTGACACGGATGTGGGGGAGACCTTTCGCCTCGTAATCACTTTGGCATGTATCTACGAACACCCAGAATTGCTGAATTGTCTGAAAGAGCACCAGAAAGTTTTGCTTGTAGCCACCTTGTTCGGATGTGGTGGAAAACCCGAAACATTGGTTTCCATGGAGCAGTCCAAACAGGACCAGGATAAAAAAGACACACAATGCAACGATAAAGAAGCCACCTTGTTCGGATGTGGCGGAAAACCCGAAACATTGGTTTCCATGGAACAGTCCAAACAGAACCAGGATAAAAAAGACACACAATGCAACGATAAAGAAGCCACCTTGTTCGGATGTGGCGGAAAACCCGAAACATTGGTTTCCATGGAGCAGTCCAAACAGGACCAGGATAAAAAAGACACACAATGCAACGATAAAGAAGCCACCTTGTTCGGATGTGGCGGAAAACCCGAAACATTGGTTTCCATGGAGCAGTCCAAACAGGACCAGGATAAAAAAGACACACAATGCAACGATAAAGAAGCCACCTTGTTCGGATGTGGCGGAAAACCCGAAACATTGGTTTCCATGGAGCAGTCCAAACAGGACCAGAATAAAAAAGACACACAATGCAACGATAAAGAAGCCACCTTGTTCGGATGTGGTGGAAAACCCGAAACATTGGTTTCCATGGAGCAGTCCAAACAGGACCAGAATAAAAAAGACACACAATGCAACGATAAAGAAGCCACCTTGTTCGGATGTGGCGGAAAACCCGAAACATTGGTTTCCATAGAGCAGTCCAAAAATGACAAGGATAAAAAAGGCACACAATGCAACAATAAAGAAGTAGAAATGACATAAGTACATTGTAAATAAAAAACAAACATTTCCAGTAGCAGTTTTTAGTAGAATAAATTGAAACACGACAATCACATAAACGACTTACCAATGCACATTTTTTGATCGTGTGCGAGATAAAACCCTTCTGGGCATTCACAGAGATAGGCGCCCTCAAGGTTCTTACAGGTATGTGAACAGCCGCCATTGTTTTCAAGGCATTCATTGACGTCTGTTGGCAAAACACAATAATAACTTAAACTTTAAACAGTTTTCTTAAATGTGCATCTCTGTCATATCAGGTGACCATTAACGCTCTTGCTCATTACATTACAATCTTAAAGAAAGGGTAACATATTTAGGTGATTAGAAAACATAGTACAATCATGTCGCATTCTGATTCTGTCGATGTTTATGTTTTCCGTTTTTACATACCTGTGCAGTTTCTGTTATTCGCGGCGATAGTGTAACCCCCTCGACAGCCACATGCATATGTACCGATCAAGTTCAAACACGCAACCTCACAGCCTCCATTGTTAATCTCGCACTCGTCTACGTCTGTATCAGTGGATATAAAAATGATTTGTCAAAATTGATCAATAAATAACATTTCAATATGCTAATGAAGAAGGGCCATTGCCTGACACGTATAGATATACTGAATAGACACTTAGGAAAACTACTAATCGGTGAACACAATCGTTGCGCCGTGCCATGTCCCACGCGACGTACAACGCGTGTCGAGTACAGTGTTTGCCGGTTTGTAACTCAAACCTGTTGACTGTGACGCTTCTGGATAACAATGTATGCTATATTATGAATTTCAGCTATTAACACGACACACGAACTTGAACACGAAATTGTGATCGTATTTCCGGTATTCGGCGTTGGATTGTGGATCGTTATGCAAAATCATGTAAAATCAATAACTGGAGATGTCTTTTTTACTAGTATAGCCCCTCAGTCGTCACACCGCACCGTGTTTGATGTGGGTCCCATTTGTTTACATTAAAAGCAGAATGACAACAAGTGTTGCGATTCAAGATTCCCGCGATTTTGCCAAAACTACGACTTCCAGGGGGCACGACTTGGCAATTTAGGGCTTGGTTAATTGATTTTAATGAATTGTTTTTTCCCAATTTACCTCGAGCCACGTACGTGGCAGCGAACCTCATCGTCTGGTCCGCCTCTTTCAGATCTACCGAGTGTAGTCGCAACCGCAAGTGAGGGCCGCTGGATGCCACGCCGACATTTCTCTGTGACTGGCACAACTGAGTAATCACACCAGATTCAATGTCATCTCCATCAATGATTGTGAGGTAGTTTCCATGACAACCAACCCCATTGTCGACTGAAAATAACAACCAAGGAATTAAAATCATTATAATTAGAATTGCATTTAACACACCAATATATTTTAAATTCGATCTCGTCATCAACTTACTGGGTATGAGTAAGTCCTCTATTGCCATAGTAACGATGAAGCCTTCCGGAACAGATATCTGCCAAAGACAATTTGTTTCAGCTGGGAATGATAACGGGTAGTTCAGACTTTGAATAGAACCAGCCAAGTCAGTCAATACCTGTCGGCATGCTGGAAAAAGTTAAAAAAAATGCATTGAAATTAACATATCTCGCGACAACCATCGACATGTTTAATAAAGATTTTTAGAAGTACGTATGTTTTTGAGATATGTAGTGGATTGGCACACAATTCAGTTGTACATTCACAGCCCACACCAAAGTCACCAAACCAACTTACACCCAGATTTGAAGCGAAGAGAGAATCCAGCTTTGTCGCCACGTTTGATATTTCCTGCGTGAAGCTTCAACCAAAAACTATCCGCGTCGGCAACGAAATGGTCTGGTTTATTTTTCCCACAGTATCGACCAATCAATGGCGCCAATACGCCTTTGCCGTGACGTATTTCTAGATAATCATCGCCACAAGTTCCGTCGGCAGAGGCTGTAGATGAAATAAATACTCCCATGTTATAGATTAAATGCTCGTTCAGATCGGATTTATGGGTATGGGACAACAGGTGCATTGTATGCGCGTATTTTTTAATTTTTTTGAGAGAGAAACAAATTTAAGTTTAAGGCCGTTCAAACTGGTTCCGGAGAAGTCATAGTAAAAGACTTTTCTTGGTGGAATTTAAGTTTCTTACATCCGACAGTTGCGTACGGCATCAGCCACCAACTTTGTAATAGTTTTAATAGTTGCTTAGAACAACGATTACCAAATATTATCTACTACTAGTATATACCAACCACAATGGGTGTTTTTTCCGTCAAGTGCGAGATCTCCCATATTGTGTGAAAGGCGGACAGAACATCTACCACATAAATCGAATGATTTGAATTGGAATTTTTTCATAGCTCAATGTCGAAATGGTGATCTTTCAGATGGTAACATGACGCTGAAATACTCTTACTTCATCAAATTTGACCATCGTCAAATTTGTATAAAACAGTGTTAAGCGTTGAAATACACCCAAAATACTTTTGCGTTTGTCGAATCACACGTTTTTTCTTCCCAGTTTTAGTGTATCACGTACGCCATTTCACTACAATAACATTACCTCGCAAAACATAGTTCGCGATAAAATGGTTCGTATTTACGTTTTTACTGAAGTCTGACACTAATAAATAGTTCGGATGTCGCATACGTTTTTTTTTTCCATTTTTTGTAGTACGTTTTCAGATGTAACAGCTACAGGAAAATGGCCGTGCGTAGTGAGGTGATTGACCACAAAATTGAAGGCTGCCTGTGGCAGAGGCACTATTGCGTAAAGCGCAATGGCCTCTGGGAAGGAGATTGCTTTGTGCAGTGATAATAACGCTTATCGAACTGTGCGGAGTTCGACTTTTTGCTTTGCCATGAGTGCGTTCGAGTCGTAGATATATTGGTCCGTTGCTATGCGAGCGAAACTCGTATAAAATGTATAAAATTTATTTTGAAATCACGCCCACTAGCATTTTATGTTTGAGAAAATTACCTAAACACCTTTTTACCTATCGAGTTCGTAGTTCGCTATCTTTTTCCCAACATCGCCCAGTTGTGACGTCATATATCAGTCGAATGAAAACTGGGCAGGCGCGAAGCGTCCGCGTCACCCCGATGCAAAGACGCGAACATTCTCCTTCCCAGAGTTCCTTGCGGTTAGATCGCCGAAATAACTCTGCCTGGGAGATTGCGAACGCGTCGACGATTTACATCTACGTCTCCTACCGCAGGATCTACTTTTTCATTATTTTAACATTTTGAAAAGATTTTAGCATTGAATGTAAAAATATTTGATATATTATTTTAAATAACACACATTTTTTTCAAGAGAAACTTAGGATATATAAAACAAATGAATTTAAAAAAAACGCGGAATACCAACAATTTTGGTGTAAAATGTCGCCTGTGGCAGAGTCTAGTTGCGGCTCTCTGTAGCTCCCTTGGTCAAGAAGACTCTTCAAGAGAGAGTGTGTTTTTACGTTCGATTTCACGCATAACGCGTGATCTCGCAGTGAACGGAAAATGGTCTATTATACCAGTATCGTATTATTAACATACCTGGTACGTTGAAATACTTGAATTCCATTGTCACAGTGAAACTTTTCTGTACGGAGATCGTCCACGTGCAAGTCTGGTTGCTCGGATACGCATGTGGGTAATTTGGTGACATCAAGTTTCCCTCCGTGCCAAAAATTGTTCCGCCACAATCTGTAAAATGAGAAATGTTAGTATCTTCATTTAATAATATACGGTGGCGCTTTTCCGTCAAATGGCGCTAGCGACAAACAGCGCCGCCACGTGACGTTCCTTTGGAAATGTATCGGAAACACGTCCAAAACAACGATAACAAGGCAAACAAACTACGACAAACCGGAGACACGGTGACAGTTGTACATAATATTGGTCTGTAATATATCCTGGTCGCTGAGTCCTTGCCTCTGTCCAATACTGGCACTAACATTTTTAGGAATCAGGGTTTCCTCGCCAGTCATCGTAAAATACCTTTTGCCATAGTGCATTACAGAGTCGTAGTCGTATGGCTGATCTAGTGAATCCACCTAAAATGAACAAATAAACAAAATAATAAAGAATCTGAAAAAAACGGGTATAGATAGCTGCACCATGTGCGTAATATGCTATTTTGTATTATATGCCGCAACGTGGTCAAATTAAATCTCTCTTCCAGATAAATTTCTGTTCACAGAAATCGATTTGATTTTAAACTTGCATTTCTGTTTTATTCAGTGTCCAAATGCCGATTTGTTTGAGGGAATATGACGTTGGGATACCCTTATTCACAGTCCCTCTTTCATCTAACGTAAAGCGTATGCCAAATGCAACATTTGCTTTATTTACAAGATATCTGAGTTAGAAATTGTTAGCAAGCAGTCGAACATGCTGAGCATAGAGTCATAAAGCGCAAAGACCTATGGGAAGGAAATTGGGGCTAATTGTGTTGGCGTGTTCCAAATAGGGTTCGAAACAGCGCTGCAAGTCGGAATTTTGGGTATTCCAGATAAAAAAAAATCAGTCGAGTTCCGACACACGCCTTAACTGTTGATTCCAGTTCATGACTCACTTCACTATACATTTGTATATGTTAAAGACACATAACGCGAGATCTCGCAGTCGGAACGCAAAATGAGCTATTGTTGTCTCCGACTTCAGAGTGTGTTGTGATTACTCGCGTACTATTACATACACCGAGTCAGAGAGATGTGAATAATAACAGCGTGGTCATGGAATGCCCAGTCTGGTGTAGAGGTCGCTGTCCGACCATCGAACTTTGCTAGACGTTTAAGGTTGAGAGAGAATAAATCACGAACAACGCATAATAGAAATGTAGTGTTGTTGAGTTTAGTTGATTTACAGTGTTTATGTCATTGCATAATAACTGTCAACGCGACACGACTTCCACGTCTACAGATAATAAAAAAAAAATGACACCAACCTCAGATCGTCCTAATTTATCAAAATTATATCTTCCATGAGGCCATATGTGTTCTGTCATGACGTCGACGTAGTCGTCTCTGTCAGGCCTGTTCTGCTCGTGCCAGAACCCAACGGCATGGCCTAGCTCGTGTACAAGAACTCCGAACGTCTCGCAGCCAGGACCCAGCGAGAGGTATTGTTCACCTGTTCCGATACGGCCAACATAAGAACAGCAACTGCAAGTAGGAAACAGTGTTAAGTATTGCACTGGTAAATTACATTACCCCTCCAATATTAGTTTCCGCTCATTTCCTACATTATAAATATTCTTGCTGTAACCGCGACGCACCAAAATAGGCCGTGGCTTACAATAATAAATTTTGCAAAGACTGTAGAATAGTCTGAGCATGCGGCCATGCGAAATTTGCTGGAAATACAAGACTATAGTAGTGTATGACGAAGATATTTAGCAATGGGCCGTTATGATACAACGACCACCGGGCTTAGTTTCGGAGTTAGATTTTTACTTATTCGGAAGGTAACGTATCCGATTAAAAACCGCCTGTGTGCTTTCAGCTTATCGCCTGTATATGTGTATGCTCTTGCATTTGTTAAAGCGCCACAGCCGCAACACCGTGGTCGATATATGTCCCATGCGATTAGTACAACGCGTGTATAAAACTTTGTTTACACGAATTCGAATGCGCGCTATGCGACCGCTGTGGTTATGCAAGTGGCGTCTACTGGGCAATATACATATATCACTAAGTAATTTCGAAATCATGTAGTGCATGATGAGGGATTCAAGTTGTTCGGGGCGCAATATATGTCCGCATATTAACATAATTTACTGTAAAAAAAATTAAACCCACGCTCAACTCCGCGGGGTTTCAAATAGCCTTCCTTTTGATCTGAACCATTATGATATTACGTTATTTCGATTTATAGAGTGGTCATTTTGTCAAGGACAGTGTATAAACTCGCGGTGTGTTTGTTTATTCGTTGATTCACCCCATATGTGTAACACAGTATCATACACGTACTTTCACATCGTTTTTTTTTTATACATTGAAGGCATTCTGCCAGCACGATAGGAGTCTGACATACTTCGTACCTGATGCAGAGCAACTGGGTCAGTAAGGGTCAAACACATGAAATCTAAGTGAGAAACGAACGTGCAACAGGGGTACAATGAGCAAACACACAATCATGTCAACAAGTGCCTTCACCTTTGGGTTGGCAGTCACGTTCGCAGAGTGTACAATTATTCACCCGTGGCAATTCACGAAAACAGTTGTAAAACAAAGACCCACATTCCTCTGCTGTTCGATATTGCCAGCAAAATACAAACTATCAACTGACGATTTAGCTTGTCTGTGTTAATCATGAATAGAGTTACCAAGCAACATATACATTTTGCTGGAGCCAGACATGGGAGGATCCTCGATTTGAGTAAAAAAAAAAAAAAAAAACACGAGTATACATAATATCAATATAGATTGTTCACAATTCAGCAAACTTGAAAGGTCGTTAATAATCCTGTAATTGTGAATGGTACAACTGTCACACTCCTAGATAAAGGCTTTTATGATTATGTCAAATATTGTCAAGATCATAGGTTGTCACATTTGCGAGACCATTGCGCATTATCATTATTAATTGACCTGAGTACATTTTGGAAAAGAATGAAAACAACACGATTCTTACAATTCACCCTCTTATTCCCAAAAATACTGGGACATTCAAACTGAACACAACTTGTATGCACCTTTAGAAATGTTTAAAAACAATGCCATTAATAACTTTAAGTCAAAACAGTACGGTAATGATAGGTTGTTTTGAAAAACTTATCTCGAGTTCACTATAGCTGACAAACATTTTAAGAAAATCAAGACTAAATTTTAAAAAGCTAAAGCGCAAAAATTAAAACAAGCAGCCTGTCGGCTGAAATAGCTCCGCTGTTAGCAATACACATTTCAATTAAAGAACTGAAGATATCATTAGAAAATGAACAATATGTACAGTATCAAAGCAATCAGACATGCTGTTTTCAACAAGAAGTCGAAAATATCACTTTTCATCAAAAATTACAAAAATATTCACAAAAATTAGGGAATTGAAGATATCATCATGAAATGAACAAATCTAAGAGAGGTCTACCCAAGGTACATATACACTAAGTATCAAAGCATTCAGGCTTGTAGTTTTCAAGAAAATTTAAAGTAAAAAGTTTTCACGGACGACGGCGGACGACGGACGCCGACAGACAATCACTCATATGATAAGCTCCGCTCGACAAAGTCGACAGCGGAGCTAAAAAAATGGTTTGAACATGATTGTTGGTCTCTTCGTAATGAAATTCGTAGTCATGCTATAATTTGTTACATAAGTATTCTTATGACCCATATTTACGTGCCAACGTACAATTGAGGTGATCTATCCAAATTTTGAAAAAATTCTAAGGAAAATTACTAACCAGTTGAAAATATAAGTAAAATAAAACCGAAATATTAGCTATTTTTTTTTTAACCCTTACTCAACAAAAATAATAGTGCGACTCTGAGGTTGCTAGTGAAATACAGAAAAAGGAAAACAAAGCTAACTGCAGTTCAATGTTGAGTGGTCAAACCTATAAAAGTGAAATTAGGAAATGAATCTTCAAGTGAAGATAAACTTTGTAATAAAATGCTATAGATATGATCACCATAGATGCTTGCATAAACTTGTATTGTTTGTATTTCTAGTGGCTATCCTCGATCCAGAGTGCTAGTCTGTTAGTATCCAGTCATAAAACTGGATCTAAATCCTAATCCATCTAATTACAGCTATTTGTAGTTGCTTAGAACAATTATTCTTTAACAATTATGACTATTATCTCAAAATTGAATCTCGCCGAAATAAGCGTATACCGCTCTTTAGCAAGATTTGCGATATGTGTAACAAGGGCTCACTCTCCCTTGCAGAATCTTCGTGACCTAGAGAGCCACAGAGAGTCGCAACTAGACTAGTGGGACGCTTCCTGGCGACTACCTAGCTTAGCGAAAAAAGACCCATAATGTCTGAGACGGAGAATGACAAGGGCTGTATTACAGGTGAATTTTATTTTCTTATGGAGTATGGAAGCTACACTGACAAGGAGGCAATCCCACTAAAACTTGCCAAAAACAGGGCCGCTCTTTTTGACAGATGCACAGGGAAAACGGTTCAGTGTCATGTTTAGTAATGTAAATTTAATTTCAGTCAGTGAAGGGAAGGGGAAAAAACCTCTCGTACTTTTTTTTCAGTTTTGTTTTTGTTTCATATCATTTCCTACTTTATTTTCTGATTTTCTTTTTATTAATAACCATTTCTCTTGCTGTCGGGGTTGAGTTAAGTGCTAATAAAGATTGATTGTAGACACGTACACTGTCGCTTTATATTTTACAAAGCATCGATAAAATGGATTGACTTTAGATGCAAATAACTGTCGAGATCTCGTTAAGAGCGAGAATGTCACGAGACTTGTTTCTTGTTTTCAAATAATGTTCTATTTTCTCCCATCATCGCGTTTCGAATACCATGGTTACATAGGGGACAGGGGTGTAACACTATTGTGTGAGTGTGTGTGTGGGGGGGGGGGTCAATTCTCGTTGCTCCCTCGCTCCCAACGAGATCTCGGCGGTCATTTTCATCAAAGATCACCTGTTACCGCGATGGAAATGAATGTAGTCCTTCTCTTCCGTCCTTGTGACGAACCTCAGGCACGTGTCTCGTTCCCAGTGGTCTATGGCAGTCTGAATAGTATCCCTGGTTTTATCTAAAAGCAAGAAGATACACGGCAATGTTTATTTTTCAAGCGATTGCCACAGTTATTAAGAGCATCACATATAGTATGTGTTTGTCTCGTAGTGAAGCAAAAACATACACAAGTATACGTGATTTTTGACGTTTTCTTTGTAACCATTAGAGCCTTTTTCGAATGTAATTGTTAAATTAATCAGTAGTTTATATTTATAAAGCCGAATAAAAAACGTCACTAGATAGCATTTGATGAGGCGATAAAATTTCAACTCTCTGGATCCCCGGTAGTAGTAATTCACGGTCGAGGGGTTACACACGCTTAATTTCACTTTCATTCATAATTTTCTCAAGGAATGAAATATATGGGGCATATTTTGCATTTGTCACATATTTTCAATCCATGAAAGTGAAACGGTGATATAAGTATCTCGTGTATCAATGTATAATAACTAGAAAATGTAGTTTCGGTTAACCAAAAATGTTACATTTATTTAGTTGCTGTTTGCATATGTGTAGCCGAAACATCATAATATTTGACCCCGCGTGCGTTCATCAGCGCCTTCAATAGAAATCAATGTACGACGTGTGAATAAGAAGTGAATTTTTGTTCACCGATGAAGTCTCGGATATAATACCCTGGTGTCGAATTTTGAGTGTCGCACGATTTTCAAAGACTATTGCTGTATAGTATGGGGCAATTCAAGTCAATCAAATTTACGTCGGGTGTATAAGCTTCAGAAAAAGGCAGTTCGAATGATTTCCTCTGACAATTTTAGCCAATCGTCGTTCTTGAACTGTTCAAAAAACATAGTATCTTGCCTATCGATCACAGAATTTCATATTTTCTAGGTATCGTAATGTACATGGCAACCAACGGCTTGGCGCCTTTATATATATGCGATATGACCAGTCCTATTTCCCAAACCCACAAGTATAGTACACGTTGCTCTCTTTAAAATAATTTACGCATTACTAAATGGAAAACATCCATGGGTCAGAGGACGTTTCAGTATAGAGGGGTAACCTTATATGGAATAACTTATAAAAAATTCAGCCTCATTAGGCATTTTTAAGAAAATTTACAAAATATATCTTTATGAAAAATGTTGTTGTAAACGCCCGGGCTCAAGCCTATAGTGTGTATATTGTGTATTTTGTTTCTGTAGAAGGCCCAATGAAAATTACTTTACTGTATATCGGCCTACCCTCTTTAAATAAAAAAGGTGTTAAATAAAAAAATATCTCATTTCGGGTATCCAAGATAAAGGACGTATGTCTCGTTCAAGAAAATGCTTTATACAAAGGGTGCTAACAGTTATGGTACCAGGATACTTAGCGCGTGACCCCACAAACTCCGTTATTCAATTTGTTCTACCGCCGCTGTGTGCTGCCGCCGTTACTGCCAATTGGCAAATATCTCGAGTACATTTCCCACGCGCACCTCGTAACCCGTGGTACAATGTGGGGTACACATGTGAATCGTCAAGCACCATGAACAAACACTCCCCTGCTCCTATACTAATACAGATGATTCGACAGACAGTGTACCTTGTCAGTGTACACACTTACAACCGTTGACTGCGGGACAGAAGTCAAAGCAAGACTCGTCGTTCTGTGTATTTTGTCGCATTCTTAGCGTTAACAGTTTACAAGGAGATTTGTACAATCTATTAAAGTCCCGTAGTAGAACACATGTTAATACAATGCCCACAAGGAAAACAAACATGAGAGAAACTATTATGGACTTTATCTGTCAAACTGTTTCACCTTGACCGTGCTGTACTCGTATACTTAACACGGGAATATTGGAAAAATTTTCAATTATATACAGTTGATATGCGCTTCCATCAACAGCCACAGTGCCTTCAATACAATCAACAAAATGTAAATGATATTTTTAAAATGTGAAATGAAAAAAATCACTGGAAAGGACATAAAGACAACTACTAAAGTTTAAGTGACTGTGAACAGGGCCATCCATACCTGTCAGAGTATCGAAATACCCATAATTGCTTGTCAGTGTTTTGCCTAATGTCACGAGACTTTTTGCGAGATGTATAAAACCCTACCATACATATACCACATTGGAGTATAAGAAGAGGGCCTGCTTTCGTCACGATCGGTATCACCACCCGGGCAATATAATTACTCTATCCTCTCGGAAACACACTCACTTCAAACTAACTTACTTGAAAATGTATCTGATATTGTATAAGGTATGATCCCGTCTGGCCAGAGTCTATTCTCCAGTGAGGTAGCAGCTCGTCTATGTCTTCTCTTCCTCCTGTCGGGGTGTTGAATTTTATAAGTATATGCGTTTCTCTTGAAACGGTCAGTGTAAGGAGCATCACTCACAGACTCAGCCCTGGCCCAATCGTCCATTAAAATATCTCCCTGAAAAATATCTGCACACAAATTTAAACAAAATGGTTATTAATTTCCGATATCGATTGGGTAGTTTTCTTTTATCTAGAGGATATCAATTTCTGAATTAATACAGGTAGATGCAGAGGAATTTTAATTAGTGCACTGTTATAGTTTTTTAAGTTTTTTCCACAAATTCCTCATGTCAGGACGCCCACCCCACACTAGTGTCAAAATGCGGATCGCCTAATTCGTACATACTCATAACTTAAGCACTGTCGGTGTTCAGTGGGAAATGTGAGCTTTCTAGTGTTTACTGAGCCGTGCAATACCACCGGATCTCGTCAAATAATGAATCACATTATATCTGGACCGAATACAACAAGTGGTCGTACTTTGCGCGTGCTTCACCGACTTTGAGAAGCAATACATCATAAGCGATTCAAACCACCTGCAGGAGGTTGTCAGAATTCGTCACCAGTTACTTGCGAGAATGTGATGATAAAATAGCCTGCAATTCCTCGAAATGTTCATATCACATATATATGGTCACGTGTATGTATGTAATTGTGACTACACTCAAACACTTATCATGTTCATTTTATGAGGACGACAAGGTTGACGGGAAAGACAGTGACGCCAACAATCCTGTCAAAAGGCGACGGATATGTCACTAATTTCTACATACGACCTTTACCTAAAATAATGGCCATTAAAGACAATCCATCTCAATTATCCTCGCTCACTCTCAGAGCTTGGAGCACTATTGTACCCAGTTGTAAGATGTGTCTGGCTGTATGGTTCCAACGCTATTTGCCGCCAGTCACGCAGTGTCTGAGTGAAACAGGCTGCACACACAAGGACATCGATGTCTCATATGTTGGTTTTGCTACAGCACTATGATCAGTTTCGCTGCACGATTAGATGCAACATTTGCTATACTACTCCGAAATAAGATCGAGAACAACAAAACACTTTGTCCATATAAATATAGAAACCGCAACATACATCTGGCGTCAACTTCAACGATTTGTCCTTCATTTCATATGTTTACAAACACTTCAGACCAGTGTCCCAAATAGCAATGATGATACTAATATAATTCTGAAAGTATCAGGTCAAGTCGCGATTTTAATGGCACAATTCGCCAATATTTGTAAATTAAGAGGTTCTCTGTCAAAATATCTGGGTTTTCAAATGATTCTGTAGCACATATATTTCAGGAGCGATTTTGACCACCCAGACGAACGTGATCGTATATATTACACCCATGGGCGCCAGTATACAAATTGGGCATATATGCTAATTGTTTTAATAAAGAGGAAATTATATCGTATAAGAGTCATAATTTTGGAACATGAACATCAACTTATTCACTGTTAACTGTTGTTGTTTTTTATTTCTTGGAATTTGTCAATAACATACACGCTCCAATCATGGAGCTTTTACAACTCCATGCGCGAGCTTTTTTTAACTCCACGGTTCAACATAACCGGATTAAGTATATGACAAAAACGAATGTGGATTATTTTAAGCTATTAGCTAAACGCCCCCGGGGGGGGGGTATTTACGCAACTTGGTAGACTGAGGTATGACAGAGAGAAGGTGGAACATAGCTACTAGCTATGCGTCTGTGATGGTATGAATGACGCATGCTTGTTAGTAAAGGTATTCGGTCCTGGTATTAAGTCGAATGGCATGGAAGCCAAGATAAGTGACTGATTGGTCCCTGTACACACTCAAAATGCAATACAAACGTAAACTAAGACCCGTGTATGTAGACAGTCAATGCGAGTTCTTATACCGCCTTTCACAAAACTATACCAATTAGAGTCATTTGAGGTTAAAAAGGCCAACCTATCAATTGGTGTTCGTTTTTTTTTTCCATTTCGGAAGTCTCCACGCCAAGTCCTCGATAAAGAATCTGAAGCCTTTAGGGTCAGGCACTGAATATTATTCCCATTTTAGTTGCGTCTGCCGTGGTTCGGAATCAATTAATATCAGTGCAACGATTGTATAGGGCGGAACTCCAGAACACTTCTTTCGGTAAAGTTAGTGGACAGTGACTGTGATAAAATAGCCATTAAGCCAGCGTGTTCAACCAGAACTGGCCTGATACGCGTATATGCAATCTAATAAAACAGGTCTCCGATCAGGTGGACGAACACGAATAATTGGGGGATCCATTATTGCATTCGTGAGACTGGTTTAATTAAAGGCGGGTGGTTTGGCGATAAACTTGAGTAACTTAACGAAATAATAACTCCGACGTACAAAGTTTGTTTTGTTAAATCTACAACTTAGCAGTCCGTGAAGTCCCAGCCGAGCAGAACTAACTATTTACAGTTTGGGCTCTCTGTAAAAAGGAATTGCAGTTTGATCCCGCCTTGACACTTCACAGGCATCTACATGAGCTGTAATTCACAATACGCGATTTAGATATGTGACAATGTAAACACATGTTAGGTTATAAATCAGGGTAAGATTACTTACGTGAACGAAGCTCGCGTTACATCATAGTAATACGACATCTGAGCACGATCACAGAACAGAATTCGTGTATATGTGAACGAAGGTTTCAACTCTTTTAAGGTTTATTTGTACGTGGCAATATCAATAAATGTAATGGACGTGAAATTA